TTATCTCTGCAGTCTCTTCTTATAGGTCTGTTCAGGTTTTTTTTTTTTTTTTTTTTTTGGTGCGTTATGGTGGGTGGAGTTGTGCTCTGGCTTTCCTGGAAGGGAGGCAGCAAGGTGGTGGTTGACACCCGCCCCCCCTTTTCTCTGTAGAAGGCATCTCAGTGAAGATGTTCCTTCGCGGCCGCCCTATTACCATGTACATCCCGTCTGGCATCCGCAGCCTTGAGGAGCTGCCCATCGGCCCACCCCCGGAGACCCTCAGCCTTGACTGGGTGTATCCTGCTCCCTCCAGACCCATGGGAACCATCTTGTCCCACCTCATCCCCACCTCTTTACAGTTCCTCCTGGGTCCATGGGGACAGGGAGCCCTCTGAATCCTCCCCTACCATCCTTCTGCCAGTGGTGCTGCCAGCCTGGAGCTCTGGCCTCCTCCCCTCTGCCTTACCCTGCCCTTGATCTGACCCTTTCCTTGACCTTGATCCCTCCCCCAGTTATGGGTACAGGGGTCGTGACTCCCGCTCCAATCTGTTTGTGCTGCGCTCTGGGGAGGTGGTCTACTTTATCGCCTGCGTAGTGGTGCTTTACCGGCCCGGGGGAGGCCCGGGGGGCCCTGGAGGAGGTGGCCAGAGACATTACCGGGGGCATTCAGACTGCGTTCGATGGTGAGGGTCCTGGGGTCTGAGAGTGGGCAGCTGCAGGCGAGGGGGTGGTGGTGGGCTTGGCTGGAAGAGGGTCTGGGTGGGTGTCAAGGAGCAGGAGAGAAGAGTTGCCTTGCTGCTCTGCAAACATGGGGAAGGTGTCTTGGGTGGCCGTGAGAGGCCCCCTTCCCTAGTGTGTGTCCTCCCTCACTTAGCCTTGCTGTTCACCCTGATGGTGTTCGCGTAGCCTCGGGACAGACAGCGGGAGTGGATAAGGATGGAAAGGTAAGGCCAAAGTCAAGCACCAGGCGGACGGGATGAAATTCTAGCCCAGCTGCTGCTCTCCTGGAATCTTTCCTTCACACCCTCAACCTTCTCCACCAGCCCCTGCAGCCCGTGGTCCACGTCTGGGACTCAGAAACGCTGCTGAAGTTGCAGGAGATTGGACTGGGGGCCTTCGAGCGGGGTGTGGGGGCCCTGGCCTTTTCGGTTGTGGTGAGCTGGCTCCAAAGCCTCTAGACCCCCAGCTTCCTTGCCCAAGAACCCACTCTTGCATGTCACCAGGAAGTCTGGGAAGTTCTAGCCTTCCTGAGCCCTGCCCAGCTGGTTCTTCTGAGAAAGGGACACATGTCAATCCTGCCCTCTGGACCTGTGATGGTACCGCGACCCTAATGACCATGAATCCCTAAACCTCCAGGCCTCACCGCATCCCCTCCACTGTGTCCCCTCCCCATCCTCAGGATCAGGGTGCTTTTCTTTGTGTGGTGGATGATTCCAATGAGCACATGCTGTCAGTGTGGGACTGCAGCCGGGGCACGAAGCTGGCTGAGATCAAGGTGATGAGCCCGGGTGGCCTGGAGGTTGGGGAGGTGGGAGTAGTGTAGTGCACAGGGCCCCAGACTTACTGATACATCTACTTCCTCTCTGGCTGGGTCACCTCGGGCAAACCTCCTAGCTTTTCTGAGCCTCGGTTTCTTCATCTGTGCAATGGGGCTATAGAAGTTCTGATCTCATAAGGGTCAGTGTGTTAGTTATTAGGATGATTAATAATGAGTGGCTGGGAGTGGTGCTATTGGGGAACCAGGGTCTTGAAAGAACGGTTCTCCTGGAGACTTCCACACGCTAGCAGTCAGGACACAGATTGAAGGGTGTCAACTGGGATGAGGGTGCTCAGGGCTCAGGGTGGCTGAATCTAGTGTCTTCCCTTCAGAGTACAAATGACTCAGTCCTGGCCGTTGGCTTCAGCCCTCGTGACAGCAGCTGCATTATCACCAGTGGGAAATCTCATGTCCACTTTTGGAACTGGAGTGGTGGAGCAGGGGTTCCTGGGAATGGCACCCTCACCCGGAAGCAGGGTGTCTTTGGGGTGAGGTGTGGGTGGGTGAAAGGTGGTGGGGGAAGGCAGAGTGAAGTGTTGGACCCAGTGCTGTAGGCTCTAGTGCTACCCCACCCCCACCTGTCCTGTGACTTTTAATCTTTGCCCTTCCCTTTGATCTCTGCTCTCTGCTTCCCTCTCTAGAAATACAAGAAACCCAAGTTCATCCCTTGCTTTGTGTTCCTCCCTGATGGAGACATTCTTACTGGGGACTCAGAGGGGAACATTCTTACCTGGGGGCGGAGCCTCTCAGATTCCAAGACCCCAGGCAGGGGTGGGGCCAAAGGTATGTGGTTCAGGGTGACATCTGGGAAGTCCTGTACTGCAGAGGGCCTATGGCAACAGAGGAGAGGGTTTCCCATCTTTACCTTGAGACTTGATAGTTCTGTGTAGGAGGACTCTTTGGGGTGCTGGTCTAAGGGTACGGGGCTTCATGGCAAAGGGAAAGGGCTGGGACTTTGGAGATTGCCAGCTTTGGGTTCTAATTCCAGTTCTGCTACTAGTGTCTGGTCTTCAGGAAGTTACTTCACTTCTTTGAGCAGACAGTTGTCCTGTCTGTAAAATGGGGAGAATAGTAGCCATGTTGGCAGCCACTAGGATCAGAGCCAGTATTCAATAGGCACCCAACAGCAGGGAGTTATTATCTTCTATTGCGATGGCCTAGGCTGCCCCTGTTTCCCACTCCCCTGCACTCCAAGAGCATGACCCATCTGGGGCTTTGCCAACAGAGACCTACGGGATTGTGGCCCAGGCCCACGCTCATGAGGGCTCCATCTTTGCCTTGTGTCTTCGGCGGGATGGGACAGTGCTGAGTGGTGGTGGGCGGGACCGCCGGCTGGTACAGTGGGGGCCCGGACTGGTGGCCCTCCAAGAGACTGAGGTAAAGGCTGGGCTGGGGTCCAAGGAGGGAGGGCACGAGGGATGGCCTGCTGGGCCCTGACTCTGCCATCCCCCTGCAGATTCCTGAACACTTTGGGGCTGTACGGGCCATTGCTGAGGGGCCTGGCTCCGAGCTGCTGGTGGGGACCACGAAGAATGCGTTGCTGAGGGGGGATCTGGCCCAGGGCTTCTCCCCTGTCATCCAGGTTGGGGGGCCAAGGGCTCAGGGGAGGAGGGATGGAAGAGCGGCTGGGGGGGGAGCCAAGGTGACAGCCCCATGCCCTGCTGCAGGGCCACACGGATGAGCTCTGGGGGCTCTGCACACATCCCTCCCAGAACCGCTTCCTCACCTGTGGCCATGACCGGCAGCTCTGCCTGTGGGATGGGGAGGGTCACGCACTGGCCTGGAGCATCGACCTCAAGGTAGAGCCCTGTGTCCCTGCATCCCCTACCCCTATGATTCCTGTGACACCACTCATTCCCTAAGATCCCGTTTCCTTCTGCTCCTGGAGGTAGCCAGCTTGGACTGGTATAGCTGACCTGGCTATTAAGGTATTAATTTTTCTGTACTGGTTGGTATAAGCTGCTGGCCTCTCCCCTCAGGGACCCCTCAGACCTCCCTTTGATCCAGCAACTAAGAGGTTAATTTCTGGCTTTGGAGTTTGCCAGCTCCTGGGTTCAAATCCTGCTTCTACTAGTGTCTAGCCTTTAGGGAATTACTTCACTTCTTTAAGCCTCAGTTGTCCTGTCTGTAAAATGGGGAGAACTGTAGCCATGTTGGCCACCATCTGGAGACAGTATTCAATAGGCACTCAACAGCTGGGAATCATTACCTTCTATTGTGATGGCAGCAGGCCTCAGTTAAATATTTTGAGTATCACCCCTTGTTTAGGCTGTAGTGACACCCTTGTTCCACCCCAGGTCCACTGTCCCTCCCCTCCGGTCTCCTCCTTGGGAGGAGGAGGCTTTGACAAGGTGTCCGTTCTGGTTCCCTCACCCGAAGGGCATCATCTTGAATTCGCCTTCTCTCCCTCCCAGGAGACTGGTCTCTGTGCTGACTTCCACCCCAGTGGGGCAGTTGTGGCCGTAGGACTGAACACAGGGAGGTAAGAGGGAGCTAGTACTCTTGGGAGGAGAAGCAGGGAGGTGTGGGGAGCCTTTCTGGAAAGGGGGAGTGGAGGAGCCCCACCTGCGCCTTTCCACTGCTCAGCCCTTCCTGCATCTTGGGCCTCCCCTGCTCTCTGGCGTAACTGTTCTCTCCTCCAAGTTGGGAGTAGAGGAGGTTGCAGCCCAGTAGAGAAGCTGAGGGGACTGGACGCAAGATAGACCCTTGTAGTGGGCCCCTGGTCTACAGTTCCTGACTCCTTTCTGAGAGGACCCTTAGCCCTTTCCCACCTCTCAGCATAAGAACTCAGTGGTGGCCTGTCCATCCCAGCCTTTCTGTGGGCTTCTCTGAGGGTTGCCGATTTGCCAACCCCTACCCTGCCCAGGGCAGCTCCCTGGGTGTCTGTCTCCTCACCTCCCTCCCTTCCAGGTGGCTAGTTTTGGACACGGAGACCAGAGAGATTATGTCTGATGTCACTGATGGCAATGAGCAGCTCTCAGTGGTCCGGTACAGCCCAGGTGAGATCCATCCCCACTCTGGCCCCAGATCCCTCCCCGGCCCCACCCTCTCTGAGTGACTGTCTTTGCAGATGGAATGTACCTGGCCATTGGTTCCCATGACAACATGATCTACATCTATAGCGTTTCCAGTGACGGTGCCAAGTCCAGCCGCTTTGGCCGCTGTGTGGTGAGGAAGCTGGGGTGGTGGGGGGCATTGCCACAGCAGGTAGACTTGCAGCGCTCGGAAGTGGTGGCTACGTTTTTAACCTCTTGACCCTTGCTTGCAGGGTCATTCCAGCTTCATCACTCATCTCGACTGGTCCAAGGATGGGAACTTCATCATGTCCAATTCTGGGGACTACGAGATTCTTTACTGTGAGGGGCAGCAGGGGAGGGCGTGGGAAGAGGGTAACTGGGGTGGATGTTACTTGTGGGGAAGTTCCTGGTTGGAGGGGATGAGGAAGAATGGGTGGGATGCTCCAGGCAGAGGAGCTGTCAGATAGGGAGGTGGAGATGAGGTTGAAGTGGGGACAGAATAATACACAGGAGGAATTTCTTTTCACACAGTTTTACACTACACCATCTTCCCACAAGGACTTGAAGGAGTTGAAAAATGCACTAACAAAACATTCTTTTGGAAAAGTTTCTCAGGGCAGGTGTGGAGGGGTTAATTTATCTAGAGAGGAGAAACTGAGGAGAAGCTGGTAGAACTCAGAGAAGCAGGGGGCTGGGGAGGGTTGCTCCTGGCCGGCTACCACGGTGACCAGACCATACTCTACCGCCTCAAGCCAGTCTTCCCCACCTAGCCTTCCGGGGCATCTTCCCGCTGTCTGGGCTGAGGTGGATGGGTTTCCTCTCCCTAGGGGATGTAGCTGCAGGCTGCAAGCTGTTGCGGAATCGCTATGAGAGCAGAGACCGGGAGTGGGCCACCTACACCTGCGTGCTGGGCTTCCACGTCTACGGTGAGCAGGAGCGCAGGGGCACGGAACACTGCCCGAGGAGTGGGAGGGGGACAAGGTGGAGCCCGCCCTGGGCTCGGAATGCTGGGTGTCTGTCCAGGGGTGGGTGTTAAGAAACCGGCAGATCCTGCTCGAGAGGCCCCAGGGGGCCCTGGGGCCCGGGAAGGATTGCTTGGAACGCGGCCGGTGGGTGGCCTGAGTGCCGGAAACGGTACCGCGCTGGGCCGTGGGTGGCAGCTGGGGGGGTGGGGAGACCAGGCTGAGGCCAGCCGCTGTGCTAGGCGTGTGGCCCGACGGCTCCGACGGGACCGACATCAACTCCCTGTGCCGTTCCCACAACGAGCGCGTGGTGGCCGTAGCCGACGACTTCTGCAAAGTGCACCTCTTCCAGTACCCGTGCGCGCG